GGGGGGGGGTTGGAGAGGTGGGGGGGTTGATATGAGACATGTGGTGATGTCACATGATAGAATTTCGAGAGGATATGGAACATGAGAAGGCAAGGCAAGATAAGAGCAGCCGCCATATGAGCGTGGGTATGGTGGGCTTTCGGGGTGGAATTGCAGGCAGGGGGGGGAGGGGAAAGGAGCCGCCGCGCGCATCGAGGGCGCGGCAGGAGGGAGGGGTGTGCGTGCGGGCGGCGAGCGGCCGTCGCCAAAATTGCGGGCGTTGGCGGTGGACAATGGGCGCCACATGTGAGCCATCCAGGGCTCAGCCCCTGCCATCGCAGGCCTGCTTGTGAGCCATCCAACGCTCCTCCCCCCTGCTAACCAACCACCCCAAGCGGCGCGGCGCGAATCGAACCAACACCCACATAGCGCAGGTGTGAGGGGCTGTCCCCGCCCGCGGCGCTGCTCCCGCCGATTCCCTTGACTCGCACCGCCCCCACCCCCGCTGCCGCCGCGCCCGCGGCGCCCGCTGCGTCCGTTGCCCCGGAGCTCCGCCGCGGGCGGCCACCCGCCGTCGGCAGCGGCCCCGCGCCGTCGGCGGCGGCGCGGCCGAGGGGGTTGGCGGCGGCGGCAGCGGCGGCGCGGGCGGTGGTGGGCGTGGATGCGCGGGAGGGGTCCTCCGATACTTCAAGGGAGTACTCCACCTCGCTGCCGCCCTCGGGATCCTGTCAACATGGCGAGGGCGGCGTGATGCGGAATGGGGAGAGATTGAGGGCACGCGTCTCGTGTGGGGGTGCGCGCGAGCCGGCCTCGGCGGGCGCCGTAGTGCAGCCGGCGCGCGTCGCGGCCGTGCTTCCGCGGCATGCCGCGAACATCGCCGCCGCCCAGTGGCCCCGCCACATCCGATCCCTGCCAAAAGCATCAGGTGCGCCCCGCGCGGCCGTGCCCCTCGCCCCCAGCCCGGCGGCCCACCTGGCCGGGCAGTTCGTGGGGCACCACCGCCCCCCTTTCGGCCTGCAGCATCGCCTGCTGCTCGTAAGACCCCCCGGGGTGGGTGCCCGACACCATGCCTGCGTGGAGCATCCAGAGAGGAATGTGTGTGAAAAATTGTGTGTATATGTGTGAGTGTGTGTATGTGTGTGTGTCTGTGCTGAAGCGAGCGGGAAGACGAAACACAGGGGCAGTCGGGGTGTTGAGAGGGGCTCAGGGGCGCGACCAGTTGCTGACCCGCTCAAATGACTGATCAACCGCGCATTCGCTCCCTAGCAAGGGCTCGAGCCGCAGCGGGCGCCCCCTGTGCGCGGGAGCTCGCGCAGCCGCTGCGGCCAGAGGGCCGGGCGGGCGGCACGCGCACGCGCACGCGCAGCGCTGCGGCAGCCAAAGGGCGGGGCGGGCGGCGATTTTTGCGCAATTCGGCGTTGGGTGGAAGCTGAACAGGCGTGCGCACCCCCTGGGTAGGACGCCTCGTCGGTCTGCGTGGGGTGCGCTGATGTCATCGCCACCTTCTCGCTCGCGGCGTCGCTGCTCTCGGCGCCCCTGGGGGCGGGGGGTGGCGGCGGCGGCGAGGGGGACGGTGTTTTCGTCTCAGAATCTGCGTGAACAAAAATCTTATGCAAAAACAACGCTTTGAAGGCAGGGGCGAATTTAGACTCTCGAAAAGTAGGCAACCATGTGGTCGGGTGGGAGGCCGCGGCAGACAGCTGTAGGCACAAGCGACCGCGGCGCACCCTGCTGACCGGCAGTTTGAATGCTGAGTGATTCACTGCTGCCGTCCCCATACATAAATTCCCAACGGGGCACCCCAAGCCGCGCGCGTTTCGAGCCGCCTCGCGCAGCAGCGCTTTTCGCGCGCTGCTGAACGGAAGTCCGGGGGGCGGCCCCCACCTGTGCTTGTTGATCTCGAGGATCTCGGTGGCCATGCGCCACACCTGGTCGCTGCACTGGTTGTTGGACAGCTGCAGGGGGCGGAGACGCGCGTTCGACCGATCACGATTGTCAGATGGCAAAGGTGGGAAGGTGGGGAAGGGGAGTGTTCAGAGGGGCCGCGACGGCAAAACCATCGAAAAGCAGGCGCGTCTCGGCGGAGGCCGGCGAGGCCGCGCGCCCCCAAAGTGCCACCACGTCCGTCGACCGACCGCGATCGAGCGCCGGCAGAGCGGACGGGGCCCGCTCGCGACCAGATCACCAGATCGTCAGATCACTTCGGATCGCGCGGCCGCCCACCTCGAAGCGCAGCACGTCCACCTCCCGCAGGTACAGGTCAGCCGCCATCCAGCGGCCGAGGGCCGTCACATGGTGCGTGGTTTTGGACGTCACGTTGGGGTTGCCGTCCCTGGGGGTGATTGTTTGGGAGGGGGGGGTGTTGTGGGTGTTTCTTGCGCTGCTTGCGCGCCCTGGACCCGCAGCAGATGCGACCAAAGAGGGGCAAGTCCTCACGCATGCGAGCACTGGGGCTCCTCGCCCTAGCGAGCAATCACGAGAAGAACGGCAAAATCGCACCCACGCACGCGCACACACACACACACCTAGACGCCCAACTATTCACCACACACGTGCACCCACACACACGCACCCACGCCCGTGCCCACACACACGCCCATGCACCCACCCACCCACACACACACATATGCACACGCCCACCTGTCCCCGCCCATCCACGAGCCAAACTTGATCGGCGTCGCGTTGAGCGGCAGCTCGCGCCCCGTGTGCTTCTTCAGGGCGCTGCTCATGCGGCGCAGGAACGTGGGCACCGCGGACCACAGGGACTGCTCCACGACGTGCAGGCCCCCGCGCGCCTCTGCGTCGCGCGCGTAATCGGCCCAGCGCGGTTTGCGGGGGGTCGTTCGCTTGTGAGTTTCGCAGGGGCACGGGCCGCGTAACCAGAACGGCGGCGCAGAGGCGGCGTTGGTGGGCGGACAGCCGGCTGGCGTCCGCTGACGACGGCCCGCCCGCTTGGTCTTGGGCCGCGGCTCCTCCGGGCGTGCCGCAGTGGCGTGAGGGTGCGCACGCGCGCATGTGGGTATATGTATGTGTGTGTTTGTGTGTGATTGGGGGGGTGGGGCGGTGGCGCTCACCGTCCACGGGCGAGGGCTTCTGCCTGCGCAGCTCGTCGGTCTGCCACAGCGCGGTGACCTCGCGCACCAGGTCCTGCGGGGCGCAGCACGGTTGACCGTTCCACGTGGTTGGTTTGACCCGTGATTGCTGCCAGCTTCGCAACTGAACAACCACCTCAGTGACAGGCGAGTAACAGACAGCCAAACTAGAGGGAAGTCCGGCCACCATTCGTCGGCACGGGAAGCGGTGCGGTCACAAGCGCGCGCACAGGGGGGAGCACAGCCCGGCTGGGCAGAGGGGGCACCGGCAACTGCTGAAGCGCAGGCAGCCGCCGGCTGCTGCCCATGCTTGTGTGCAGAGCGACGGCTCTGGCGTTAAATGCTTTTTTGGCGCTTTCTAAGTATTGCACGGGCGCCTCCAACACAGGCTGGATTCGGCCCCGTCGCGGTGCGAACTGTGATCTGTGATCTGCGATCTGCGATCTATGATATGTGATCTGGACCCCACCTGGATGACCAGCTCCCTCTCCTCGGGCATCAGGTCTTGCCTGCGGGTGGGAGTGGGTTCACAGGCGAAAGCAGCACAGAGGTATCAGATTACGCAGCCAGCTGGGAGCCGCGCCAGCATCTGGACAGCCCAGGGCGGTAGTGGGAGCCCCAGCGTCCCCCCCGCACGATGTCTAGGCACGGCAGGCGCGCCACACCTAGCACGCGGCGCCTCGCCAGCCCCGCTCGCCCTTAAGTCCTTGCAGAGGGGCGGCGCCGCGCCGCCGCGCGGCCTTGTCAGCTTGCGGCCCCCGACCTCGCGCTGGCTCGACCCCGCGCGCGCGTCGCCGTCATCGTCCCGCCCACCGGTCGTGCTGCTGCAGCAGGGCGGCGATCTTGGCGTGCTTGTACTGCAGGGTGCGGCGGTTGACTTGGGTCGGGTGCGCCGTCAGGACGATCTCCACGGTCTGCGGGTTGCGCAGGGTGTGTTGAAAAGGGGGGGAGGGTGCCACGGTCAGGGAGGGGCGAGGCGAGGTGCAGTCATGCAAAGGGGGGAGGCCTGTCGCGCCTGGGCCTAGTGTGGCGGGGCGGGACCGTCATCTTCTGGTGGGTGTGGGAATCCTGGCGCGGGCAGGCGCATTCATCCATAACACACACAATGCACCCACACAAACACACACACACACACACAAACAAAACATCCCAAGCACTCGAACACGTACGCTGCCACGCCCTCACACCTGGTTGGTGATCTCAGTGAAGAGGTCATCGGGGTCCATCCCCTCGGTGATCAGCCGCTCTGGGCAGGAAATGCCGCGGAAGCCGGGGGGACGGGTGCGCAAGGGGGGTTAAACGTGGGACTGGACAACGCCCTGGTTGGCAGGGGCGATCGACAACCCTGCGCGGTGCGCTTTGCATTTCAACGGCAGGCGCGTCACCCTGCGTGCGGGGCTGGCCATCGGTTGAATTTGTATTGACGCGGCCCCCGCTCGCGCTGCCGGCGCTGCGCTTGGCACCCCTGCCCGCTTGCCGGGCCGCGAAGCGAGCAGCCGCAGGTGCAGGGCGCCCCCCCCCCCAAAATCTCCCTCAACACCAAACTCCCCTAGCCCCCTCACCGAACGTCTCGTCGCACGACTTGGGGTTCTTGGCCTGGGTCCTCGCGCGCCGCACCCTGCGCGCGTCAACGCAGGCCGCAAGGAGCGCCGCCGCGGCCGGTCAGGAGCCGGGGTGCGCGGCGCCCCGCTCGCCGTCCCCGCGCGCCCCGAGCCCAGCCGGCTTTCAACCGAAACAGCACACGCACGCACGCGCGGTGTGTGAGTCACGACGTGCAAGCGGCCGCGTGTGTCGGAGCCATTGCGGCGCGCGGCCCCACTCGCCCCCGGGGCGCGCCTGTGGTGCAGCTCTGCGATGCCCGTGAGGTTGAGGTAGTGTCCCAGCGCGCGCGTGAGGGGCATGGCCTCGTCCAGCCCCATGTTCATCAGCTCGTCCGCCATGCGCTGAGACAGCAGCCGGCTCGCGCCCTGGGGATGGGAGGTGGACGAGGTGAGCCCCCCGCCTCCTTGCGCGCTGCCCGGGTCGCAGCTCAAATCGATCAGGCCTTTTGTGGCGGGGAGCGCGCGCGGCACCCAGGTCGGGGCGCCAAGTGCGGGCCGTGAGCCTGCTCCAGCGCCGCAGGCCCACCCACCGGGTCGTGTTTGAGCGCCATGTCCGCCGCACACATCGCCAGCCCCCGGATCCGCTCCACCTTCGCGCGCAGGCGGGTGCGTGCGTGTGTGTGTGTAAGCGTGTGTGTGTGTGTGTGTGTGTGTGTGTGTGTGTGTGTGTGTGTGTGCGCGCGCGCGCACGCGCGTGCGTCTGCGCTCGCGTGACCACGCATGTGCGCGCATCGCACCTCCCGCGCCGGCCGCGGGCATGCGTGCAGGGCGCGGCGCTGACACCCATGTGACGTGCCTCGCAGCGGCGCAGCGGTGCCGCCGTGCTCTGGGCCCGTCCCGCGGCTGTATCACATCTTAGGGGGATAGCCCGGCTCGCCTTGCTGAAGAGCTCTGTGCCGACATCTGCCTTAAGGCAGTCGTCCAGGAGGATCCCCAGCAGCTTGCAGTCGTCGATCAGGGGGGCCAGCGAGTAGCTGCGGGGAAGCCGGCGGCGGCAGCGGCGGTGAGAGCGCACAGGAGGTGCTTTGTCGGATGCGGGGGGCTGCGGGCATAGGTGGCTGCTGCGTTTGGGCATCCACTCTTCTGCGAAAAATTAAGCGCTGAGCGGGCTCACTCCTCTGCAAAGTGGTAGTCATCGGTGCTGTCTGTCATCTTGGCGGCGCGGCGGCCGGCAGCGCGCCTGCGTCACACCGCCTGCC